GAGGAAGCCAAGCATCCACCTGCCTGTGGCAAACCCTGCTGCCTCATTTTTTCCCTCCTGCTCCATCTCAGGGCTTGCTGGGGAACCTCTCCTTGGACTCCAGCCCTCTCAGCAACTGGCTGATCTATCCCCTGGCCATAGACACTGCCGTCCAGCAGGGCTGGCCCCACATTGCCCTGCCGAAATCAAGCAGCGGGGGCAGAGCAGGGCCAGCCTTCTACACTGGGACCTTTGAGACCCCTGGCATCGCCTGGGACACCTTCGTGAAGTTCCCAGGTTGGAGCAAGGTATGGCAGTGCATAGCTGGGAGAGGGAGTGAAGGTGGAGAGGGCTGCAGCTCAGTCCTGTCTCTATCTTCCAGGGCCAGCTGTGGATAAATGTGTACTGGCCATGCCGTGGGCCCCAGCAGACTCTCTTCGTGCCTGGCTCGGTGCTGCATGTTGGCCGCCCTAATAACATCACCGTGCTGGAGCTGGAGGGGGCACCCTCCACCCCTCTCTTGCTCTTCCTTGACCGACCCCTTTTCAACAAGACCCTCAGCTGTAGCACTATGCCCACGGAATAAACACAGAGCTGCCAGGCCCTGGCATCGCCTCTCGCTGGGGCTGTGGAGATGGCAGGGGGCGAGGGGAGGGGCTCGAGGGCCCTAGGAAAGGGGCACATGTCCTGGAACAGACATCCAGAGCTCCTGCCCTCCTCTGGGGCCAGGCTGTGCTAAGGAGAAAAGAGGCCAAGATTGAGCTTGTTTTGCATGTTAATCCCACACTGGTCCCAAATATGTCCAGTGCTCATGCTGACTCCCCCCACACCTAGGGGGTCAAGGCACCTCTTTATTGACAATGCAGGCAGAAGAGGTAGTTGCCAACATGATATGGCTGAGACGCCAATGGCATCCAGGAAAGGAGAGGGCAGAGCACAGCCTAGAAGGTACCTGCAGGCATAGCTGCAGGTAGCTCAGGGCTGTGGGGTCTGGATGCGTCAGGATCCGTCCCACCACCAC